CAGCCTGAGGAGGGAGTGGCGGGGGCTCTCACATCATGGGGCTGGGGGCATCTTGGGGCCCCCCAGCCACCACTCCTCATGTTAAGGCCTCCACAGGGACCCAGGACAGTAGCCCCTGGGTGGGGTCCCTGCAGGAGGTAAGGGGAGGCCCTCTGGGGACCCTCCCAAGGACACCCCACTCCCTGAGGGCCCTTTGGCCAAAGGCAGTGCTGAGCCCAGGCCTGTGGACACAGGCAACAGAGAAGCTGGGAGCCTCCCTGCCCAGATGGCACCTTCCCTCCCCACCCTGTGTCCTGGGGTTGGGGCGCTCCTGTCCTCAGGATGGGCGCTCAAGGATGAACTGGAATGATGGCCAAGGCTATCCTCAGGAAGGGACACCCTCCCCCACTTCCCTGCCTATCACACACTTTTTAAAAACAAATTCAAGAATTTAAATGCTTTCTCAAGCTGAGGATTAATGTAAATGGTGCCCAAAGAATTAAAAAGAAACTTGAAAAAGTGTATGCCTTATTTCATTCTGTGTCAGATAAATGAATGTATTGCTCAGGCTCATAAATTTTTGGAAAGGAAATTTTGTCAAAATATTGCAAGCTCCAGAAAGGTTCTCTGCTCGCACAGCTGTGACACAAAATCACAGCCTTCCTCAAACCAGGAGATGCCCACATCGCCCCCGGGAGACTCTCGGGGACCTTTGCCCTGTGATTTGTGAAGTATCTCAGCACCGGGTGCCCTGATGACCTCAGGGTTGGGACCAGTGGAATTCAGAGGTTTCCTGGAACTCATAATTCATAAAGTCCCTACTTCACGGAGAAGCCAGAGAAACACCAGGAAGCACCTGGGGCCTTGCTAGGTGACAGAGAGCATCACACCCCTGAGAAGCCTTCCTAAGAGAATCAGGAAGGCGGGACTGCATCCCTGGGGACATTACAGGTGTCCACAGCTGCACAGGCCCCCAGGTCACCCCAGCAGCCAGGGCAATGGTGCACCCCCAGGGCCTGGTCAGTCAGGGCTCTCCAGAGAAGCAGAGCCAAGAGGACATGTGGACACAAAGAGAGGTTGACTGTGAGGAACTGGCTCATGAGATTGTGCGGGTTGGCATATCCAAATCTGCAGGGGGCCAGCAGGCAGCAGGCCCAGGAGAGCCAGTGGTGCCCCCTGAGCCTGAAGGCCAACTGCCACGGAATGCCCCCTTGGCCTCATGGAGGTAGCCTTCTGGACTGTGCAGGCCTTCAGCTGATCGGACAAGACCTACCACACTGGAGACGGCAAGCTGCCTTACTCAGATCCACTGACTGAAATGTCGCTCTCACCCAGAAACACCCTCACAGACACATTCAGCACAAATACCTGTGCACTGCAGTCCAGCCAAGTCAACACATAAAATTATCCATCAAAGACCCTTGCTCCCATTTGCACAAGCCATCTGTGTCTGGTCTCTGTAGGGAAATCCATACCTGATGTGAACCATGGGGGGTTGTTAGAAGGGATGCAGGGCAGGACTGTTGTGGCCTCAGGGTGTGGGCAAAACACAGTGGCAGAGCAGCATCCTGCTGGGGGTCTGTGGGAGGGGAGAGGTGACAGCAGGCCCCATGAAGAGGACTAGGGGCACAGACAAGTGGTGGAGCTCGTGGTGGGCAGTCCCAGTGGATATGTCCTCCTTCAGCAGCCCAGCAGAGGGGCCCCTTTCCTGGCCTGTTTTCGGCCTCCACTCTCAGCCAGGATGTCCACTCAACCCCTAAGGTGGAGGGGCTCATCCTCCTGCCAGGATGCCTTCTGAGTGGGCAGGTGACCCCAGGGGCCCATCAGATTCAAGCAGCCTTCGTCTGGAACACTGGGCCCAGGGAGCCCTTAACCCCACAGCCATGAACCCGCCAGCTGAGGGACCAACCACCTCCTCATCACCATGGGGATTTTTCAAACTCATTAGCTTTGGACAAGTAAATCGTGTCTTCTGTTATCATGACAATAAACATGTGCTCTCTAAAGCCCATTATCAGATTGGAATGGAGACAATGTTCCATCGTGGACAAAAAAAGATGACAGCTTAGAATTTCCTATAATGACCAGTGTGCAAACAAATATGATTTAAGTATCCCGTTGTGCCGAAAGCATCGCTCATTTCCCACTATTGCTGTTCACGTGGCAGGGAAAACACCCCCTTAAGTGGCTACAGTGGGGGCCCCTGCAGCCTCTGCCCAAGAACTTACAATGTCAATATCGCAGACCACTAATCCACCCCTTGGCGTACACTGTGCACGCTTTAAAGAGCACATGTTGCACCCGTTAAAGTACTATGAAGCCATTAAATACAGTCAGCAAGCTCCATATCCCTTCCCTTGGAGAAACTTTATGCATTGATAATAAAATCCAAACCACTCCTGAACCATGACTCAGGACATCCCTCCCTCCCACCTCCCAACACGTCCCTCCTCTTACCCCGTCCAGCCACACAGGCCTCTTGTCCCTAGGGGCACCAGGCACCCCTGCCTCATGGCCTTTGCATGTGCTGGTTCCTCTGCCTGCAGAATCATCCCTGCCTGTGGAAGGTGCTCCTCCTGATCATGTAAGTCTCTGAGGAGTCCCCAGACCACAGGGGATGGAGACCCTCTCCCTGCCCCCCAGCTCCTCCCTGTGTATTGTCACCCTGTCATTTCTACATAGCCCCTAACACTGGATTTCTCTCACATCTCTGTGCTCACTTGCAGAATGTCTCCTCACCTATCCTAGAGGCAGAGCTCCATGAAGGCAGGGATGTGGGTCTGTTTTGGTCCCTGATGGACCCACGATGCTCTAACAGAGGTTGACACATAGCAGGCACTGCAGGAAATGTTTGCTGAGTGAATGAGCATGGGCTATGCTCAAGGCAGTTGTGGGGGATGTCAGGCACTCAGCCCCTCCCCCTGCTGGGACCCAGGGCAGCAGAGGACAAGGGTGCCCAGGCTATAGATTCACTGTAGTCAGACACACTGCATCAGGGGATGTCTGTGGCATATCACAGACAGAGCGGGTCATTAATTTTCAAAGTGCATTGAACTAGACTTACCTTCCAGCAAAGCCAGAGACATTGGCCTTCGCACCATCTGTCCTTTGATAAACTGGTTCTTGAGGCAGCTCCAGAAAGTAACAAGATCAGTTCATCCCTCATCACAGGTGCAGTGGCTCCGCTTTCCCTAACCAAGTCCTGAGCGGCTATTTGCTTTCAGCCGGACCTAGTGCTGCCCAGAGGACAGGGAGGTGCCCATGAGTTCCCTAAGGTACAGTTTCCTCTGCCCACCTCACTCAGGAAACCACTCCTTGCTGCCTCACCACCACAGCTAAACCCCGATTAGGGTTGGGGTCGGGGTAGGCGGAAGCCCTGCACCCTGGTTCAGCATGGTGGCTGGGCTCACATTGTTTGCCGGCTTTGTCCCAATTCTGCCCACAAAGCTCTTGCTGCCGCTGATTAGCCCCCACGGACGTGGGTGGGCCTTCCTGCTGGGCTTATGGGTTTCAGCTCCAGTGTCAGCCAAAGGTCTGCTGTGTGGGAGGAGGCATCTTATCCTAACTGGACCTTCTACCCATCAACTTCAGCAGAGCCGAGGTCCTACAGATAAAACCACGTGCCTGAACCTGCCCTGGGTGCTCACTTTTCCCAGCAGGACACTTTGAAGCCAAGGTCCTCAAACTCCAGGACAAATGTCCTGGTTCACTGGCCTGAGCCTCTGAGATAAAGCCTTTTCCCAGGCAGCACTTGGGATCCAGGGCCAAAGAAGCCCCAGAGAGGCAAGCTTGGCTGGCACATTTGTTTGTGTAACTGGAGGGTCACTGCTCTTGGGAGGTTGAACCCTCTCCAGTTCTCCACAGGCCCCATCCTTCCCTGTTACTCACCCTCAGGCACCTGCTCTCCTCACCCTTCTATCTGGGCCTGAGGATATTTGAGTTCATAGCCCCAACCTGAATCTCGGTGGGGGCCAAGACATGTGGCACCATGGGCAGGAGCTGGGTTGCAGGCAAAGCTGGCTACAGCTGAGGGTCCCACACTCTGCCTCATCCTGGCAGGACCCCACTCCTCCCACAGAGGTGAGCCCAGGAGGTGGTCTTGGGTACATTGGAAATGCTTCTGCCTCAGACACCCTACTGCCATCTGCTGGGAACCTGACAGAGGGACATGTGACCCTGGACAACCACACCTGGCAGCTGCCTCCCTGTCCTCTGCCACATCCTGCTCCCCCGTACTTCCCACAGCTCCAGTCACCGGCCAATGTTGCATATTGTATTTAATAAATCTATCTCCTTGAATAGAATTTCCAAGAGGGAGGGGTGTCTGTTTATTCAAGGTTGTGTTCTCAGGGCAAACAACCCAGCCTGATACAAAGTATGGACACAGCAAACAGGCATGGGGTGAATGAATGAATGGGAGGGCAATGAGTGATTGGAGGGTGGTTTCCTTTCCGCCCCTCTCACTGCTGGGGACACTGGGGGCCTGGGGCAATGCTCACGTCCCCATGTGCTGCCTCCACTGAACTCAAGGGCCCTAGCTTGTCTGGGGCACCACTCAGGCAGGCTCTGGGCTGGGCCTTCCATCCCAGGGGCTTCTTTCCCTCCAGTCTTGTCTTCATCAAGGTGGACATTCCCTCCTGGCATACAATGCCCACACACAGCTCAGGGCTCACATGCTCTCCACTGACCAACCTTTGACTGTCACAGGTCCTGGAATACTATCTTACACGCTCAACTTGGATTGGGCCCCCAACCTGACCCATCTCCGTGGCCAGGAGAAAGAGCCTGGGCCTGGGCGCTCCTTGGAGTCTGGCAGTAGGCATGGACGGTGGTATCCACCCACCTAGTCCACTCACCCAAGAGCAGAGCAGGAGCTTCCCCAGGGGCTGAGGGGACAGCAGGGGCATCAACAAATCTGGGGAGGGCAGCTCCCCCAGCTCCTGGGTGAGCACACAGGACTGTCCTCAGTGACTGAACTGCTCAGGCCGTGTGGCTGGTGGGAAGGGGAGTGGGGTTCTCACCAGGCTGCCTGTCCATGTGTCCATCCCTCCATCTCTTCGTCTGCAGGGTTCGTTTCCAGCCTCTGTGTTCTGCTTACTGCTGTGGGTAAGAAGTCACATGCACATCTGTGTGTGGAAAGGTAAGTAAAATACAGACTGAAGAGGAGCCCAGCAGTCTACTTCTCAGAAATAAGGACACAACACCTGGCCCCGGGGCAAGGACACACAGTGCCTGGGTCAGTGCAGGGACATGTGGGGCTGTAGTCCCCATGTCCCAGCTGGGCCTGTGGTGCCTTTCAGGTAGATATATGCCTGGCTGTGGGGAGCACCTGGGGAGGCGGAAGCCACGCCAGGGAGCTGGAAAACAGAAATTCAGTAAGGACACGGACTGCAAAGGTGTGAGGCAGCCAAGGGCACAAGGAGACCCAGAGCTGCTGCTGCCCAGGGCTGGTGAGCACAGCAGGGGCTGGGTCACCTGTCATGTCAGAGGACAGGTGCAAGCTTCCAGAGCATCCCCCAGAAAGTTACCCAGGACGCTCCTGACTCCAGCCAGCTATTGCAACTGCTGTGGATGCCAGCCAGCGGGGAAACCCATTGGAGCCCAGTGTTTGTATGGGGGTGACTCAGGCAGGCTCGCTCTGCTGAGAGGAGAGCAGGGTCTGACATCAGCCTTGTTTGTAAGAGCAGTTTAGATGCAGCGAGCCCACCTTTGCCCCCAAGGGAAAGACTTACATCTGTGTGGGAGCTGACTGCAACCAAGTGCCCAGGCACCACCCGAAGAACTGCTCTGTCCCCAGCCCTTCTAAGGGTCATGGTTAGGCTAACTCCTCCCTGCACACTTTCTCATGGGGCTGCTCAGGTAGAGGACGGAAGTGCAGAGCATTCAGGGGCCCATGCAAGGGAATCCCGGCTGGGGGTTAAAGCGTCCAGAGACGAGAGAGGCATGAGGAATGGGAAGACCTCAGACCTCACTTCCCCGGGAAGAGTCAACTTGTCAGCCACATATGGTACACAGAGCCTTTATGAGAGCTGTAACTCCTCAAGTTCTCAGGGACTGCCCCCCAAGAGACAGTGCGTTGGACCACAAGTCCACACATTTAAGAAGATAGACATCATGCCAAGTATCTTTTCCAACCAAAATGAAATGAAACTAGGAATCAGTAGCAAAGAAAAATCAGGAATTCACAAATAGGAGGAAATTAAATGACACACACTTGAACAATCTACAAGTCAAAGAAGAAATCACAAGGGACATTGGAAAACACCTTGAGACAAATGAATATGAAACACAGCATACAAACATTAAGAGACCAACAAGCTGGTACTAAGAGGGGAGTTGATAGCAGTAAGTGCCTGTGTTTAAAAAGAATATTCCCAAATCAACAGCCTAACTTTACACCTCAAGTAACTAGACAAAGATGAATTGAACTCAAAATCAGTAGAATGATGGAAATATTTATGATTAGAGCAGAAATAAACAAAATAGAGCATAGAAAAAAATCAACACAACTAAAAAAAATTTTTTTTTGAAGATCAGCAAATCCGATACACCCTTATCTCCACTAAGAAAAAAAGACTCAAAAATCAGAAATGAAAGAGGAGACATTAATGCTGATACCGTGGACATAAAAGGGTCATTAGAGGCTTCCTTGCACAATTACACACCCACAAAGTGGATAACCTAAAACAAGGGATAAATTCCTGGAAACATATAACCTGACAAGATGAATCATGGAGAAACAGAAAATCTGAACAGACCTGTAACTAGTGAAGAGACTGAATCCATGGTCAGAAACAGCCCAAACTCAGAAAAGCCCAACATCGGAGAGCTTCCCTGGAGAATTCTACCAAACATTTAAAGAAGAATTAACACCAACCCTTTTCAAACTCTTCCAAAACGCTGGAGAGAATACTTACAAACTTGCTCTATGAGATCAGTATGCCTTGTTACCAAAGTCAGACAAAGATACTGCAAGAAAACTACAGACCAACATCCCTGATGGATGTTAAGGTAAACATCCTGACAGCCCCCTCAGGCCCCTAAGAGAGAGGTTGGCAGTGGGATCATGGGCAGCACCCACCAGGAGCCTCAGTTCCCCACTGTCAGGCTCCCACAAGACCCCAGGGCCCCTCCCGTCTGAAGAAGCACCTGAGGCTGATGAAGGCAGCGGCACTCTAGGAAGACAGAAAGGGCTGATGAAGGCTGGCGGGCAGCATGCTACCCTCTCATTGGCAGGCTTAATGAGCCTGCACACCCAAGAATTCCATTGCATTGAGTTATCAGTAACTCATCAAAGGGACAAATTGCCAAGCCCACCCCAAATGCAGTGTTGGAAAGAGGGGGTGGGAGCCTCCCCCACCATGTCTGGCATGTGATTAAATAAACATTCTGAGACAGACAGGTATCTGTCCTCCTCCAGTTCAGCTTCCTGGAGTGGATGCAGTCCAAAGTGCTGGACTCCAAGGGAGTGGGCTTGGCATGGACAGGAGGGGCTGGGGCAAGGTGGTTCTGAAGACAGGGCACATCACGTCACTTCCCCACTCAAAGCCTCGGATGGTTGCCCAGCTTGCTCAGAAGAAACCCAGGTTCAAGCCTGGCCTTCAAAGGTACACAGAGTGCCCTCTGCTGCCCCAAATTTACTTTCCTCCCTCACCCTCCCTGGCGTCCATTCTGTGTCCACCTCAGAACCTTTGCACCTGCTGTGCCCTCTCCAGAGAAGGCCCTTCTTCCATCCCTCCATGACTCTCTCCCTCACCTAATTCGGGCAACTGCCCAAATGCTATCCCTCAAAGGGTTCTTTCCTGTCCCTGCCCCACACATTCAAATCCTGTCCCCTAGAGGCTTAGTCTGTTCACTGAGGTGCACATTTATGGACCCACTTATTCACTGGACATAAGCTCCATGGGCTCAAACAGCATAGTCTCGAATATGCCTGTGCTTCCTCAGGATCACCCTCAGGGGCTCAGCACAGGGCCCAGGCATGGCTCCTGGCCAGAAGCCCTTCAGATGCCTGCGTGGAACTTTACCACCCCTGCGGTGGGAGCAAGGAGGCCGTGGTGGCTCCTTGCCTGGGTCTCTGCTGCCTCCTGGCACTTGGCATCCCAGGTCTGCATTGTGGCAGAGAGCAGACTGCACCCTGTCCTCTGACACTTAGAGAAAGGTGAGCCCTCAGCCCTGGCTGGGCTTTGCTCTCCCTCCATTGTAGGGGAGCTCGTGCAGAGGTACCAAAACATGTAGCAGGTTGCAACTTGCCTACCCACATAGACCAGGATTCTGAAGCCAGTCAGGAGCATCTGATGGTGTTCAATGTCTTTAAGACACTCATTTGGCACAAGGATCTGGGCAGGGCCCACTTCTCCTCAACAGCCAGGTCCTGCCTGGTGGTCCACCTGCTCTAAGAGCTCAGACAGGCTCTTAGCTCCCAGAAGGCCTCTCATCAGGGCCCTTTCCTTAAAGAGCTTGAACCCATGTGCATCAAACCTAAGTCAGCACAGGGACTGTGCCCTGCACACTTCTAGGGGGCACCATGCCATGGGTATCTCTCTATTCTGGATGCAGCCAAGACCGTGGGCCTCTCCTCTCGAGATTTCTCCCTCCTTAAGGGAGAAATGGGCCACACTGCAAGCTCCCATTAGCACCTGCCATTGCTGCTTGCACACTTTCACTTTTGAAATTACAAGGCATATTCATCTTATTATTCTGGTTTCCAAATTATCCTGCAGAGACTCCCCATCCTGTAATTTTCCTGCCTTGCTACTCTCTGTTAATGATCACCCACAATCACAGTGCTATGTTGGATTAAAGCCACAAAGAGCAGAACTTGTTATGAGCTGTTCCATTAATTGATGGCACAGCTGGTACCTGGTGTCTCCCTTCATGGGGGAGGTGCAGTCAGCTGCTGTACACACCATTTCTGGAACCTAAAATTCCCACAAATGTCCCCAAGGGGCCTCTTCAAGGATGGTTCCAGATGCGAGGGCATCTCCCCCTCGGCTCAGCCAGCCCACTTCCTCTCTGCCCTCCCAGATGGACCACGAGCTCTGAGGCCCAGGACTGCCCCCCACAGGCATCCCCATAGCTCCTGGCACCCAGCCAGCTCAAGGCAGGCAAAGGGCATGCTTGCAGGGAGCCTGGGCTCCAAGGCTGCTCCTGGCTGATGTCACTCCCCTGACAGAATTCTGTTGACCCCACTGAGACTCCTTGACAGCCCATGGCCCCCGAGTCCCTCAATGCTGGGCTCTAGCAGTGTGATGACACAGTGGACCTCTGTCATTTTCCTGGCTGTCACCCACTTCCTCTGATGGCAGCCCCTGATTTTCTTGTGAGAACCACTCCTTCCTCAATCCAGTGCTAACCACCTCCCACTCCCAGTGGACACATGGCCACATGTACATCTTATACCCTGGCCACCATCTCTGGTTCAGGGCTGGACACAAGACCCAGGTCAGAGCAATGAGACCTCATTGGGGATGTCTACTGGAACTCTTACCACTTAGAGGCTCCACTTTCTGCTGGGCCAGAAGCTCCCAGGATGCCAGTCCAGGAGGCAGTGACCAGCCTACCCTCATGCCTGGGAGGCTGCCCATGAATGCAGTGATGAGGAGGACCAGCCTCTGTCACTCTCTGAGCCTGTCATTGCCAGGGCGGACCCTGCTGTCATCTGAGCCTGTCACCACTGAGACCTCCTCTGCAGTCATCTGAGTCTGTCACCTCCAAGACCACTCTGCCCATAAACTTGTTAATTGCAGGAGACAATGCATGTTGTTTTTGACTAAACTAGTTTGAAATGCAATTCTGTGACTTGTAACCAAACACTCCTGACACTTTACTGTTTTCAACATAAACAACAAAATTAGTTTATCTGAGCCCAGGAAGGAGTTGCTGAGACCCAAACAAGGAGGGAAAGCACTGCCCGTGGGCCATGGGCTTTGCCCCTCCGGGCCTCAACTTACTCCAATGTCACTCAGTATGTAGGTAGCAGCAGGGACAGAAATGCCTCTCCTTCAGACCCTTTTCTCTTCCCAGCATGGCTAAGTCAGCCCTAGAGTCAGACCTAGAAAGTGGGGATGATTTTAGGTGGGGCTGCTCCGCCCCCCGACCCCTAAGTGAGGTGCTGCAGGCACAT